CCTTGAAGTACTTGGGTGAGAGTACTTTTATTCTCATTTCTTTTCTGTTCGTGCTACATTATTGACAAGTCTAGTTTTGGTTGGAAGTGTAAAGGATGAATAATCTTAGATTAATAATTGCTTAACAAATGTGATCTGAACTTTCTGATTTTGATGTGTCAGTTTTTTTTGCCCCGTTGAGTGACTAATGGTTTCAGGTTTTTTCTGTGTTTCTGCCAAAAGCAGAGCAGGTTTTAGTGGTTTGATTGATGTTACCAAAAGCTTTAAAGAATGAAATGTCTGTCTGATAAGTGTGCTGCATGGAATTTATATATATATATATATATATATATATATATATATATATATAGCTGATTACTTGCTCTAAATCCTACAGTTAGCATTTCTGACTTATTTTCTTACTTATATAGTGCAACAGTTGGGTTCCAGAAGTAAAAACTCCATTCATTTTCATTTTCTCCGTAGGGAAAGTGATTTTTAATAATACAATAACTTAGATAATGAAACCTTAGACAGACCTACTGTGAGTTGCCAGGATGTAAATTGATGGTATATGCTTTTGTTGAAGCCATCCATTGGTATTTTTTCAACTGATTCTTAAAATGCTGAATTTGTGGTGAAAAACTGCATTACTCATGATACTGTAAAGAAAATTCCACCAATCAGAAACTCGCGGTGAGCAAATTGTGCCAAAAGAACTTGCAGGGAATGGCCACTTCCTTGAAACACCGCAAATGACGTGATCAAGTCTCGCTATGTGGTCAAAATACTTAAATAATTGTGTGTATATAAATGCATATTTTGCAATATACTTAAAATACATTGTTTCTATAGATATAATCAACAACAATAAATGAATAGTTATATTTCTCTATATGGGATTGTAGTTCTTTCCCTCACTAAAGCAGTTAAGTACACAGTCTCATGCCTTTGTCATTTTGTCAATTTCTTGCTTCAAATAATGTAATGTTATGATTCACTTCATAGCTTGTTGGTTTGGTTCATGGCTTATAACGCTTTAACAAAGTCTTTTTTAAAACCTCTATGGGAAAAAAAATACTTAAGTGCACTGAAAAAGTAGGCAGGCATTAATGCACTCTATTTCGTCAAGTGTTTCAGCACAAAGCTTGTGTATTTCATATCACTAGTGTGTATAGTGTATCTGTTAAGTGTGTACTTCCTGCATTGTGCCGTCTCTTTCAGCCTGTTGTGGCTCATTTGGCCTCTGACCCCGTGCGGCACTCTGGGGCCCTGCTCAGAGCCAGACTGATTACATTAGAGCACTGATAGCGGACGCTCTCCCTACGCCCCACAAATGATGGATGGATGGCTCTTCCTGTGGAAGAAAAAGAGCAAGAGATACTCCAATGCCCCCCTTCTCACTTCCTCCCTCCATCCGCAGCTGGCCCAGTGCCAAGCTGAGCTTTATACGACGAGGCCCCGTGCTTGTCCCCTCTCTTAGCGTGGCACGGCCCCAGACAGAGACATTCCACTGCGTGGGAACTCAGTGCAATCTGTCTGAACAAGAGGGAGGGAGAGATAGGTGCACAGCTGCCCAGGTCCAATCAAAGTGAGAGCGGTGTTGAGTGACAGGTGGTGCAATCAGTCAGAGGTGTTTCTGTGCACTGTGACCCCAGTATGTCAAGTATGTTAATGATTGAAAGATGGTCCCTCGGCTCCTGTGATTCTGATTCAATCCATCTTGGTACACTTATTAGAGACTAATACAGATGTCAAGTTTTCTAGCGAAGAGAGTTAGCTGCATTATGTTAGATAAGACTCATGCACAGCCATGCACAACTTGAAGAATTTATCCATTTCTTGATTAAATTTACCAGTGAACCCATAACTGTGCTGGAAAAAGTGCATAATTTCAAAATAATAATAAAAAAAAATTAAATATTAAAGTGTCCAAAATATTTTATAATTTAATACATATAAATTTAATTGCATTAGATAAGATGTACCAAAGATGCCTTTTTAAAAAAATACAGTAAAAGCAGTAATATTGGGAATTATTACTACATTTTAAAATAGCTGTTTTCTATTTTAATATATTTTAAAATACAATTTATACCTGTGATGGCAAAGCTGAATTTTCAGCAGCCTTCAGTGTCACATAATCCTTCAAAAATCTTTTTATTATGCTGATTTGATGCTCAAGAAACATTTTTATTATAATCAGTGTTGAAAACAGTTGTGCTGCTTAATATTTTAGTGGAAACCATTATATATTTTGTTCAGGTTTCTGTGATGAATAAGTTCAAAAGAACAGCATTTATTTGAAATGGAATTTTATTGTAGCAATTTTGTAACAATGATCAATATCTTTTAAATAATGTCCATATACTTTTTTGGCTATTGTGTTAATAAAGTTACATTTAAAAAGCTCAAAACAGCCACTTTTGGTCCATTTTACCACAACAAAAAATACAGACATAAAAATCATACACATAATCATACACTAGACATATACACATATATCACACTGTGGCTGTCAGTGTTTTCTTAAAGGGAAGTGTTTTGCATGCTGCAGCAGAAATGTTGATAAAGGCAATGGTGGGTTATTACTGCTGTGTTGGCAAGGGTTAAGGTGGATTAAGATGCAGCGGGTGGGGGAAAACAGTGTTAATGCCGGTTAAGGGCAGCAGTAAGGGTGGGTAGGTTAGTGCTTGTGCATTTGGCAGCAAGTGTGTGAAGGCAGAAAGCACTGGCAGCTCCAGCAGTCAGAGAGGGACGATATGGTTTGGCTTAGAGAGCTGAAGAACAAGCAACTTATCAAATCAAATCAATTTGAATTTTGTTTTGGTAAATAGCAACTAGGATGAGTCAGAGAATAAAACATCTTGGAAAAAAAGACATCTCACAGGTTGACCAGCTTGAGAAGAAAGGGATGCTGTGCTCTGGTTTGTGCCTTGGCACTCACATACAGTCCAGTTGGCTATGCCTCTCAGAGAGTGAATGTGCTGCCTGTTACAAACACACAGCTCTGACTGACAGCATCTGGAGCGTGTGGGAGAACAGGAGCATGGCAGGGACACGTCTGATTCCTTTCTGTCATTCTTTTGGATTTGTTTGTGAAAACATATGAGATTTAAATTACTTAAATGTAACGTTTCCCTCACAGGGTGACCATATGTCCTCTTTTTCCCGGAACATGTCCTGGCTGGGATTTCTAAATTGCCTGAAATGTCTGGTGTTTTGGCTTTGTTGTCCTATTGTTTTTTCATACTCACTGAAGGTAATGACTGAAAAGTAGTTTGACCAATAGCATGCAGGCATTGTACATAATCGACCAATCGTGGCGTGCGAGAAGGTGGGATCTGCAGACAATGGTCAAAGCACTGAAATATGTGTAAATATAATGTATGAAGACTGTTCAGAGCATGTCAATAGCAAAACAAATTAATTTTATTAAAAACTTAATTATGTTTTTTTTTTTTTTACAATAGCATTGGAAACAATATTTTCTTTTGCTTGATGATGCTGCATCCACACCATTAGGTGTCAAAAGCCCAAGACTCATATTGGCCAGTGCAACAAACAAAAACTTACTGAGTGCCCCTTTAAATGTGTAATTTTGTTTTATTATTATTTTTTTCCATGAAGAGATTATCCTTGCTTGACTTCATTTCATGTTTTCTTTAATATATTTGAGTCATTTTTTGTGTGTGTTTTGTTTATTTTTTTGAACCTCAGACCCATTTCTTATAAAGTAAGTCTACCTGTTCAGCTCTTGTGGAAATATATACCGTAGACTCAACACTCTCTAAAAATACTCGTTTTTTTTTTTTTTTTTGGCTTGGCTCAAGTTTAAGAAAGTCAAACTGAATGGACACAGACATACAAGTATATATGCACATGCTTATGTACTTTTTCATTTTTTCATTTTGTCTACATGTGCCGTCAACAGATCAAACCATCGGACATATTTTGGCGGCATGTATGTTTATACTTGTGGCTTTTTTTTCAAACCCCTAAGTTGTCTTATTGAGCTGCCCAGAAAAACAGCCGTATGAGAGAGAGAGAGCAGTCAGATAAACATATTCCAAACACAGACGCGCTTTGAGTGTCTCTAGAGTCATAGACTCCAAGACCAGCCCTGGGTGAAAGCTTAAGTAGACCACACGGTTGAAGCAACAGTGCGTAGGCCGAAGGGGAAATGGGCAAATCGGGGGAGAGAGTCCCCAGGGCCCTCTCGCTGCCAGACCTGCACCGTGCTGGGCTCGTTCTTCAGATGAAGCTCTTAGACAGTGACGACAGATAGTGGAATAGTGTGTTTGGGTGTGTAAGAGGGTGTGTAGGTGTGTGGGTGAGAGGGTAAATGGGCATGATGGGCTTAGTTCGGACATTCATGTACGTCACAAAGTGGGCGAGCGGTCACATTTAATCTATTGGAAAAAATAGAATCATTCACTTGTCAACTCACTAGACAGCCATGTTTTGTCTAGATAAAATAAAGATGCATTTTCTTTGGAAGCCAAATTTTAATTAATTTTAATTTATGCTTAAACAGAATTTTTTTTTACAATTTATTGTTTTAAAATGTATTGTCTTAAAATATTGTTTGTTGTTTTTCAATCAAAAAACCCACTAGATTTTATTTTAGTTTAGTTTATGCTTAAAGGTAGAAAGAAATAGATAGAAATTTGCCAATATGGTAAGAAAAATAAATGTAATATTCTTAATAATAATAATAATAACATATATAATCTCTCTCTCTCTCTCTCTCTCTCTCTCTCTCTCTCTCTCTCTCTATATATATATATATATATATATATATATATATATTGTTTGTTTTAGTGAGGTTTAAATATTTTCATTGAAACATTCATTAAGAAAACAGTTTTTGCAGTGTTCACAACATGGCCCCCTGGTGCTAATCAAAGTCTAGGTGCATTTTTTCTTCAGTGGACTAAATAAAAGGCTTTTTTAAGTGAAAAATCTGAAACTTGCTAGTCATAATGCTAACATGTTTTCCCCATTTTTCTACTTTCTAGAGACTGAAAGCTGCCCTTGCCCACCATCCAGGGGGCATGGTGAACGGCAGCATGAACTCCATGGGTCATATGATGGAGATGATGCAATCGCGGCAGGATCAGACCGGTCACCACCACCTGCACTCTCACCCCCACCAGCACATGCAGGGCCCACCCCACGGATACCCACACCATGCCCACCACCACCCCAGCCATGCACAGAGCGCCCATCACCACCCACAAAGCCACGGGCACCACAACTCCCACCCGCCCCACCTGCACCCTGCACACGGACATCAGACCTCTCCACACCAACCAATGCACTCTGCTGCTTCACAGGTACTGAACTGGAGTGAGATACAGTTGTTGAGGGTCTAATGCTGCAATACAAGTGATGTAGAGATTGATGAGTTAAGCTGAATTTAAATGTTCAAGTTTGCTTGAGTTGGGATAAATTAATTGAGAGAGAGTAAAAAAACAACAACTGGGGCCATATTGTGAACATCTGCCAGAAAATTATTTTTTTTCCTCCAGAGTTTATATATAAAAACTGTACATTAAAATGAAAATACTTTTTATTTCTAAATTAAATTAGTTGAAAATAAAGTAAAAAAATGTCAGGGTGGTACAACTGTCTTAATGTCATAATGAAGAAAAAACCCTCATTAAAAGAATGACATTCTTAAAAAGAAAAGAAAAAAAAATACATAAATAAATAACACTAAGTTTTCTTGAAGTATTATTAATATTTAAGAAAAATGTTGTCTGCCAAATCAAAGTTATGTGGTGCAACCAACATGCAGAAACACACACACACACACACACACAAGAAATTATATAATATAAAGGCACCTGCAAACTCAAGGCCAATAAGTCTCTTAAAATATCAGATATTTTGACCTGATTATGACAATGCAAGGTTAGTTCAGGTTGTAAAATGTAATGTGATGCAAAAGAAGTAATGATATTTAATGAAGTAAATATTCATAATGTTTTTTAAAAATACTTTTTACTTTGAAAATATGTAACAAAAAAATAAAAAATAGGTGTACATTCAAATTTGTTCAATATGAAAGGAAAATGTATGTTGCTGAAAATGTAAGTTGTAAATGAAAACAGTTCTTACGTATTACTTGCACCACATTTTTGTTGAAAATGATATAAAAGGTTTTCAAAACCATGTGAAATAAAGAGTATATTTCTAAGAACTTTGGCACATGTGTTTTAAACTAGACTTTTACTCTCACTCTTATTTGTATTAACCTGTCTACTTAAAATTCTCTTCAGGTCTTTAGGGTGACTGAATCCATCTTTTTGTGATTCAGAAGTTCTGCTTTAATGTATTATTAAGCCAAAGAAGGGGCCCTGTATACATACAAACCATCAAAGCCACTGCATTTTCCATCGCCTCCAGAAACCTGTAATGATCTAAAGACGGCAAACATGGCAACTGCCAAGCATATGTCAAAGAAGCTTTTTGTGGGCCTTGTGCACTGGTAGTGGCCCTGTTTTTCAGGGTGTTGTAGAGAATTGGTCCGAGTGGACATGTGCAGTGGAAAACTGGGCCCTGACACCTCTTTATGAGGGTGGGGCAGCCTGTAAATCACACTGCTGTTTCTCACACCCAGACGTCCATCATAGGACTGTAGGGCCACATGCACAGGGCACATGTTGTTTTAAAGAAAACTCCCAGACAGGAAGCTTCTAACTGAAGAGGTCTGAGCGATGAGATGTTAGACAGGTGATTGGCTGGCAGCCAGGTCTGTGAATATATTAACATAATGCCTCAGGGGAGAATTGTAACTTCAGACTGTTTGTTGTCCCGTATTTTACAGTTATCTCCAGCTGCACAGCAAATGCAGCCGACGCAGACCCTTCAGTCCCCGCCGCCCAGCGGAGGGCGCCGCAGACGGGTCATGGACGAGGACCCCGACGAGCGCAGGAGGAAGTTCCTGGAGAGGAACCGCGCGGCCGCCACACGCTGCAGACAGAAGAGGAAAGTGTGGGTGATGTCGCTAGAAAAGAAAGCGGAGGAGCTCACCCAAACCAACATGCAGTTGCAGGTCAGAATCACTCATTCGTACACTTCTCCTCAGCTGAAAGCCTCAGTTCTTAAGCGTTAAAAAGCACACTTCACTTTGGAACACACACTGAGATGTATTTCACGCGGGGCTTCATATTTCACTCGGTATTAGCTTACTCTAGACCACAGAAGCTCATAAACACCCTTGATATGACAGCTGAAGCTACTGTCGATGGAGAGCAGATGGGGACGGCTGTGTGGAGGGCAGGGTCAATGGGTTATTGAGGTCTACAGAGTAACCAGAGCACAGCCAGCTGCAGCTGAATGTGCGGTTTGTAGGCCAGTAAAACCTCTGTGCATCACGGCACATCTCATCTGCGAGAGGTTTCCATTCATATGCATCCATTTGGGCTCTCAGTAGACCTTGAATTTGCATGGAGATTTACCTGAGAGATTGATGCTGTGTGTGTAGTCATGTAAGTCTGTTTTTGGAGGATATCCTGCACTACCCGCAGCTTAACCCAGTCAAGCTGGTTTTCAGCAGGTCTCCAAGCCTGATTGAACTGGTGTACAGGTGATCGCCTGCTGGTGGTCCAGTCTGACCAGATGACACATGTCTAAAGCCCCCTCTAAAACCATGAAACCAGAACAGCTTGACCTCTTTTGGACATGGTGATCATCCTCATCAGGCCACATCATTCGCTCTCTGCTTATCTGAGCAAGCTGAGGTTAACCTGTCTTGCTCAAGACCACAGTCGATGCTTCGCTGGTTGCAATTAGTGTGGTTTGAACCTTGCAATTACCAGCCTACATTTTTAACCACTAGGCCACGCCATTCCTACTAATGCTAGACTATGTAAGGTACTTGTGATGTATTCACAAAGATTTTGCTGACAATAAAGATTTGAATTCATTTTGAATTCGTTTTGTGAACCCTCTTTGCCTCATGACTAAAATTGAATCAGTTGAAGACACTGATATATTCGCATTGTGACTCAAAAATGTTAATCGAAGTCTCTGTATGGCAATTTTCATATATTGAAATATTTACACTGTAACGTTCAGATCTTTGGGTTTGGTCAGACTTTTCTTCTCTCCATGCTCACCAAGAATGATCAAAAATACAGTAAAAACAATAACCGTTTTCTATTTTAATTTATTTTAAAATCTAGTTTATTCCTGTGTTGGTAGAGCTGAATTTTCAGCAGCTCTTCTGTGTCTTCAGTGTCATATGATCCTTTAGAAATCATTCTAATATGCTGATTTGCTGCTCAAGAAACATTTCTTATTATCATCAATGTTTATAACAGTTGTGCTGCTTAATATTTTGTGGAAACCATGTTTTTATTATTATTATTATTATTTTTTTTTGATAAATAGTTCAGAATGTAATTTATTTGAAATAGAAATCTTTTGCAACATTATTTATTTATTTACTGTCAGTTTCATCATTAATGTATTCTTGCTGAATAAAAGTATTAATAAAACAAAACAAAAAACATACTGACCCAAACTTTTGAATGGTAATGTATATTTAGCAAAAAAAATTTATATATATATATATATATATATTTATTTATATATGTATGTATGCAAACATTTCTGTTTATTATGATGTATTCTTATTCTGGTGCATATAAATGCACCAATATAAATTCTTTTTGCATTAACTATTTTAAATTAAATTTGCTTTGGTTGAAATTAAGGTTCCTCTGAAAAAAAAAAAAGATGATGATATACTGTATGTTTTATATTGTCAAAAAGTTGAAAAATAGTGAGATATAAACACCCAGCCCAAGTTCCCACTAACAATAGAACAAAACATGTTAAATGTGTTTGTTTTTCTTTGCTATTGCATAGTTTGCTGAGGTGGGACAGAATACTCATAGACACCCTGGCACTCCCATAGTCCCACTGTTCAGGCTTGTTTTGTGAAATATTCACCCCACAGTCACAAACATGGTACCTGTCAAAGCGAGGATTCTTCTCCACCAAGCATCCCTGAAACGCTGCCATGTTTTCATATTGGTTCTGCTAAATCATTTAATCAAATTCAAGAACTCTGTGTGATCAGACGCTTGTGTTTCCCACAACGGTAATTGTAGGGAATTCACCGCCTGTTCATTATGAGGTTTTCTAATGAGACCCAGACTTGTCTGGCCTTTAATTCATTGTGTCTGCTGGGAGGTTTGATGTGAAGCTGCCAATACATCCACAAGAGACCTTTTTCCAACATGTTTGTCATAATTATGTTAAGTATTGCATGGTTTATGACAAAAACAGAACATCATAAACATGTGTGCCTTTGTTTAAATTTGTTTACATACTAAGGAACCATAGGGGCTAACTGTCACAAACGTGATTTCCCAAACACGGCTTAAACTTAATCTTAAACTACAAAGGAATTTCAATAGACAATAACTCTTAAGCAGTCAAATCCAAGCCAAACTGTATCCAGGAAACTTGTGAAATATACATTTTTATCTGTGAAATAATGAGGGACATTTTAGTTTTAACTTATGTTGCTACACACTATGTTTTGTTTTATGTCTGTAGCCAAAGTGTATGACTGGATATTTCACTAGCAATTAGTTATTCAGTTCCTGTAAAGACTGAGGGATTTTTTTTTGTAAGTGTTTCATGTTATTATTGTTTTTATTGGCAGAACGAGGTCACCATGCTAAAGAACGAGGTGACACAACTGAAACAGCTTTTATTGACACACAAGGACTGTCCCATCACCTCCATGCGGAAAGAGTCTCAAGGTTACCTCAGTGAGTACCATCACACACCCACACGGCCAGAGGTGGCATTACGTAATAACGAATATACTGTATATTGTTTGTAGGACACACCCACTGATATAGATACTTGTGACATTTTTAAAATGTTTGGAGGCTGCCACTCCCTGGTTATAGAGGAGGGGAAAAACACTCATTTTCTCAGTCACTGACAAACCAGTTGCCTAGCGGTGTTTATGATGCAGAATTATTGTTTCCATTTTCACTTTGAAGTAAATGTCTTCAGGTAATGTACACTGCCTGTCTTTCTAAACGTCCAAATTCATCAATAATTAATGAAGTTGTGAATATTTAAATATTCATATCAATGTGGTGTTTATTATTTTCACAGTCTTCTCATAGGAAACAAAAATCACAAATGAGATCTCTTTAATATCTCAGTTATTTTTCCTAAACTACAAGTATGCGGATGGATGGATGGACATATGGTTGGTTGGATGGATGGAAGGATGCATAGATGGACAGATGGATGGACAAATAGACAGGCATATGGATGGATGAATAGATGTATGGATGGGTGGATGGATGGACAAATAAACATATCGATGGGTAGATGGATAGATGGACAGATAGACAGGAGATCGATAGATGGACAGATTGACAGACATGTGGATGGATAAATGGATGAATGGAGAGATAGACATATGAATGCATGGATGAATGGATGTATGGTTGGATGGATTGATGGATGGACAGATAGGAAATGGATGGATAAATGGATGAATGGACAGATAATAATTATAATAATTAGTTACATTTATATAGCGCTTTTCTGGGTACTCAAAGCGCTTAACATGAAAGCGGGGAATCTCCTCAACCACCACCAGTGTGCAGCATCCACCTGGATGATGCGACTGCAGCCATAGTGCGCCAGAACGCCCACCACACACTAGCTTATTGGTGGAGAGGAGACAGAGTGATGAAGCCAATCAGTGTATGGGGATGATTAGGAGGCCATGATGGTCAGAGGCCAATGGGCTTTTTTGGCCAGGATGCCAGGGTTACACCCCTACTCTTTTTCGAAGAACATCCTGGGATTTTTAATGACCACAGAGAGTCAGGACCTTGGTTTAACGTCTCATCCGAAGGACGCATATGGCATATGGATGGATAAATGGATGAATGGACAGATAGACATATAAATGGATGCATGGATGGATGGACGAATAGACAGATGGATGGATAGATAGGGAATGGATGGATGGAGAGATATACATATGGATGGATAAATGGATGTATGGACAGATAGACATATGAATGGATGCATGGATGGATGGACGAATAGACGGATGGATGGATAGATAGGGAATGGATGGATGGACAGATAGACATATGGATGGATAAATGGATGAATGGACAGATAGACATATGAATGGATGCATGGATGGATGGATGGATGGACGAATAGACAGATGGATGGATGGACAGATAGACATATGGATGGATAAATGGATGTATGGACAGATAGACATATGAATGGATGCATGGACGAATAGACATGGATGGAAGGATGGATGGATAGATAGGGAATGGATGGACGGACAGATAGACATATGGATGGATAAATGGATGAATGGACAGATAGACATATGAATGGATGCATGGATGGATGGACGAATAGACAGATGGATGGAAATATGGATAGATAGGGAATGGATGGATGGACAGATAGACATATGGATGGATAAATGGATGTATGGACAGATAAACATATGAATGGTTGCATGGATGGATGGACGAATAGACAGATGGATGGATAGGGAATGGATGGACGGACAGATAGACATATGGATGGATAAATGGATGAATGGACAGATAGACATATGAATGAATGAATGAATGAATGCATGGATAGATGGACGAATAGACAGATGGATGGATAGATGGACGAATAGATAGATGGATGGATGGATGGACATATGGATGGATGCATGGATGGATGGACGAATAGATGGATGGATGGATAGATAGGGAGGGGATGGATGGACAGATAGACATATGGATGGATAAATGGATGAATGGACAGATAGACATATGAATGGATGCATGGATGGATGGATGGATGGACGAATAGACAGATGGATGGATGGACAGATAGACATATGGATGGATAAATGGATGTATGGACAGATAGACATATGAATGGATGCATGGACGAATAGACATGGATGGAAGGATGGATGGATAGATAGGGAATGGATGGACGGACAGATAGACATATGGATGGATTAATGGATGAATGGACAGATAGACATGAATGAATGAATGAATGCATGGATACGTGGACGAATAGACAGATGGATGGACAGATAGATTGACGAATAGATGGATGGATGGATGGACAGATAGACATATGGATGGATAAATGGATGAATGGACAGATAGACATATGAATGGATGCATGGATGGATGGACGAATAGACAGATGTATGTATGGATGGATAGATAGGGAATGGATGGACAGATAGACCTATGGATGGATAAATGGATGAATGGACAGATAGTCATATGAATCAATGAATGCATGGATAGATGGACGAATAGACAGATGGATGGATAGATAGACTGACGAATAGATAGAGGGATGGATGGACAGATAGACATATGGATGGATAAATGGATGAATGGACAGATAGACATATGAATGGATGCATGGATGGATGGATGGACGAATAGACAGATGGATGGATGGATGGATAGATAGGGAATGGATGGATGGACAGATAGACATATAATTGGATAAATGGATGAATGGACAGATAGACATATGAATGAATGAATGAATGCATGGATAGATGGACGAATAGATTGATGGATGGACAGATAGACAGGGAATGGATGAATGGACAGATAGACAAATAAATGGATGAATGGACAGATAGACACATGAGTGGATGCATGGATGGACAAACAGTCTAAAAGGACAGATGGATAGATGGATTGACAGATGGACTGACAGACAGCTGAATGGACGCAACCAGACATCTTCATCTCTCCTCTTGTCCCTCAGGTCCAGAGAGCAGTCCGGCAGGAAGTCCTACCCCTGTAACCCAACAGCAAGTCATCCAGCACAACACCATCACCACCTCCAGCACAGCACCCAATCACCGCACAGATATTAACCCCATCCACTAGAGACTCCAGCCCCTGACGCCCTTTACCACGCTGGACATCCCGACTGCAAATCCTGGACAGACACACACCTCTGTGCCTAAGTGGCAGCTTATTCATCTGTTTGCAATTTGTAAATGTAAACTGATTACCATTTTGTTTAGTTCTGTGTGTTATATGTTTCCATTTGTGTCTGCTTAAAAAAGGGAGTTTCATAAATCATTGGGCACCATCTCGCTTGTCAAAGACATCACTAATGGAAACGCAACTGTTACATCTGTTCCTGGATTTCTGCTGGACCACTGCCTTTACAAATTGCAAAATTCAGATAGCTGGATAGCTTTTTCTATGAATTTTCCATGGCCAAAAAGATGCTGTCCTTTCCTTTCTGTTTATTGTTATAACAATTACTCTCACAGTCCCCTTTTTATCAAATTCAAAAGGATAAATTAGGAAGGTCAGTCTCCATTGGGAGTTCCTAATGAAAGTAACCTGAAGCAATATGAATCTCTGACATGCTCAGCAATCTGATTGTCTTCACTTGCTCGCTCGGACCAGAATCTAGATCAGATTAAGTTCAAACTATTAGCTCCTGTCATTTCAGATATAATTTCAAAAGTTATTTTCTTAAAACAAAACAGCTTTGGGCTCCTAAGCTGGTACAGATCATGTAAATGGAATGCATTTATCAGGCTCACACAGGCTGCTGTGAGCATATGCCCTGCTGAACATGTGTGAGATTTCAGAGTATTCCCAGAGTGGCGAGTTCACAGCTGCAATCGTGTTGCACCAGGAAGACATCTCACTTGGCGTTTCTGTCCAAACATTTCAGAAGATACCATCAGCTGTTTCATTTTAAGCTGGTGTAATTTCTGGTCAGATTTACCCCTGGACCTCATCAGTTTGCATATTACTTCTTCTGGCAGTTCATTTCGGTATCTGTTTTAGATCAGCAAGTGGACTAAGTATTACACACATACTTCAATACATTTTTATGTATGTTTTGTGCTCATATGTGGGCCTTCCAACTAATGCACTCCAACTAATCTTGCACCAAAAATAATGCCATGGAAAACTTTTGGCAGCTTTTGCCTTACCGGAGGCTATGGAAAACATAAATGCTACTTAAAATTAGCTTTCGTTTTGGCTCAAAGTATTGTTTAGATCTTCCTCGGGCATTCTGACTGTGAGGTAAATTTAATTTAATAGGCTTAAATGTAAAAGGATATATTTTGATACATAGTCCTGGTTTGTTTGGTGCCTAGGAAATCATATGAGGCTTCCTTCTTGACATGGACCATGGTAAATTCTGCACTTGACTATAGTCTTTATGAAACCGTCAAGCCCCAACAAAGGTGCTGTTGGTTTTGAGATGTTAGTATACAGTCAGCAGCTTACTGTAAGGGGCAGTTCACGAAGAATGCATTTTCACATTTATAAAACGCAAGATGAAAATGGCAAAAGGCAGGTTCTCAAGATGCGTTTTTAATTTAAACTTCTTACAACTTGACAAGGGCTCGAGATGCAAAAGGCGTTAAAAAGCAGCAACACACAGTGCAATGCCATTTTAATGGCTGTCTCAATCACTAAATCCTTCCAATACACTGGAATGTTCGCTCCCTAAAAAATCTCACAATGCACCACAAAAACCAGGGCGCATTTATGGTTACTATGTTCCCTTACTGGAATACACATGCCATTTTCTGAACCGCGTTAACTCAGAACATAGCATTACACAATAGAAGGTTTGATGGTGGCATTTTACAACTCAGAAACAGTGTCCCAATGTGTAATGAACCAGGGTTCTTACCTGTGGACACGATATACTGATTCACGATCTAGGGAGCTGATTGAGATGCACTCGAATAAAAGTCGTGCAATGGAACGCGAAAACGCATTCTGTGTGAATTGCCCTAATAATAACATTCCAATGTGACCTTTGTAAGGGATGTGTGGGCAAGATCCCATATACCTCATGAGTGTATGATCATGGACTGATGAGCTATAAGATGGCCGCTGTCACTTTAAGACATTGAGTCCTAAATACCTTAAAGACCATGACACACCAAACCAACATTAAAGAACTAACGGTGATGAAAGCTTCGCCTGTGTCTGGGCTAAAAAGTTGCCGCAAAGGCTACAACCAAAGGCCGACTAGTACATACATTCTGCATATGCATGAAAAGAAAAAACTTTCCATACCAGCAGGTGGCAGTAGTCGACAACAGTATTCATCATTCAAAAAGGGAAACCAAAACGTAGGACTACAGAAATACAAACCATAAACAAAACAGTGCTTTCTTACAACTTTGTTCATTCCAGACGTTTTTCGTTGCCATATCATTATGAAAATATTTGCATACTGGAATGCTCAGGTTGGACGATGTAAAATTAGAACAGCCATCTGTGTGCGGCCTCTTGACTTGAGGTATTTGCTTGTTTTCGTAACTTTTGTTTTTCTTCTTGCGCGCTGGTTCTTTCTCACCGACTGCCTGAGACTGATTCAACTTGCTCAATCGGCCAAAAAGCCACCAATGACGTTAATGACGGCCTGGCGTTAGCAGACAGCCAACTGTTGGCTTGGTGTGTCACGGACCTAAGTTGCATTTTCCTTGTCTAATTGCAAATAATGACGCAATTTGGTCCACTTTTGTTTTCCTCCGCTGCGAAAATGTAGCATTTTACTATTTCTACACAGTTACTGATCTAGACCGATCTAGATACTGCTTTCCAAATGTCACTATGTGCCTGAATATGTCTTAAATACTCACAGAGGGAAGAATGTCAGTCCTTAGTAATACCTTGATTGCATTTATCAAGGTCTTGACATTGTTTAGCTTTTTTTGTAAAGACTAATTACTAGTGTTTTATTGTGGACACTGTTTTGTTCCGGACTCGTTTTGGTGTTAATGGACTTTTCTACCTTCTTGAACCAAGGAGGCCTGGGATGAGAATACAGGCAAGCTGGAAATGTCTTGGCATCACGAGGAGAGAAAAGGGCCTTTTTTTCCAGCAGCTAAGCTCAGAACTCTGTTTCATGTTTTTCACAGTTTGTAGAGGATTTTTCGTCCCTCCTAAATGGAACATATTGATTCCCTTCGCCTTGCCTCGTAGCACTGTGTTTGGAACAAGAGCGTGCAAAACGACCTCCACATTGAGAGGTGGAAATCTTGTAGCTGTCTATGCACTTTGACCTCTGTGAGCAGCAGAGGATGGAATAGCCATATAGAAGACTCAGCGATTCCCAGTTCCCACACCAGCGAGAGCCAGCCACTGTCAATCTATGGAGCAACGCAACTTGTACGGACCAATGGGATTGGAGCCTAGAAAGGGTCACCCCAAGAAGGACACAATTCGAACCCTGAAGGCTTGGTTTTGGAGGTGCTCCTGTAGCTTTAAGACTTAAAACTGTCCCTTAGATAAAACCTGTTTGTCACTGTGAAATGGGTGACATCGAGGTGAACTGGAAACATGATTGTGCTTTTATTGTTGATTTTGTTGGACCTGATGGTGGTTTGGTTGTTTCCCAGCATAGTTCACATAGGATAGTTCACCCAAAAAGGAACATTGTCATCATTTACTCATTTCATTGCATACTTGTATCTTTCTTAACTTTTTTCTGCAGAACACAAAAGAACATATTTTGAAGAACTTTTTACAGTTTTGTCCGTACAGTGAAAGTCAATGGGGTCCAAAGGTTGCAAACTTCAAAAAGGATGTAAAGGTAGTGTAAAATATAAAATCATTGATTAAATACTGTATGGTGATTCATTGAATCAAAATCATTGATTTGATTTGAGAGCGAATAACCACTTTGCTCTGTTTGGTGATAGTATCGTTTCAGAAGACTGGAGTTGTTTGGATTAGTTTTACGCTACCTTTATTTATTTTTTGGATCTTGAAACTTTTGGACCCCATTAACTTTCACAGCACGGACAAAAACACGCTAAAGCATTTGTCAAAATATGTTCTTTACTGTTCTGCAGAAGAAATTAGTTAAGGTGCAATTACATTTACTGTTGTTCACCAAATTTTTGTTGGACGAAATCCAGTCATTTCTACAGGAATCCACGAGAACAGGAATTTCGTGTGATGGAGAAAGGTTTCCCTACGCAGATTTTGCAACTGATTCACTGCACTGACCAACAGAAACTGCTTGGTTTTAAAGTGTCAATAGTGTAGAGATGTATAAAGCACAGCTTACACAAACGTCAATAGACAATGGACCTTTTTTGCCCAATGTGACCACACCTAAAACGATGATCAATTTTTTTTGGGTGAACTGTCCCTTTAAGTAACTCAATGTTTTCTGTGCATGTAGCATCATAATGTGGTTTCGAATGGGATTCTGATGCCCACAAAGGGTGTGAGTTTCAATGTTTTTGGAATGTGAGCTTGAAAGTTAACTTGAGATCTGTGCATGCATGCATTTTCAGTCTCGTTGACATCTCAGACTTCACACTCACAAGTTTTGCAGTGTTTAACCCTACATGATGATGTAATAATATGGTGGGAGGGGCTTGCTAAAAAGCAGTTTGGATCTCTATGGAGGATTTAAACTGTCTAAAGTTGCATTGTAGTTAATCTCCTGCATCTTTACATTTCAAAGCAAGGTGGTCAGGAGCGTATCTACGCAGGGCTACGTCATCTCTTACCCAAGCAACATAACATACAAGAACACACTGAACTGGAAATATTTCACTTACTCCCAGTGAGTAACACGCATTAATTTCAAATTGTTGATTTGGCATCAGTACTTGTTATGATGTTGGATGGATGTCTTTTGTAATAGCATTCTTATAAAACGGAGGGAGATTTTTTTTTGTGTGCGCGCAAGTATATGTGTGCTTTTGTGTGCATAGTTTTTGTTTTTGTTTTTATTTTAGGTGGAGGACAATGAATACACATTAATAAAACTATAAATGTATCATTGCAACAAAACTATAAATATTGTATAAATTTTCATACATTTTTGTAATCTTGTTCCCGTAATGCAACCACCTTTCTTTTTGAAAGGAGTACATGTTTGGTACTTGTTTGTAAATAATGTTTGCATAGCACTTGCAGTCTACAAATGTTTGCCTGTTCATTTCAGAGCTGAAACATTGCATTGTTTGTTACGCATATTGAATTCATGAATTCACACACGCTTGCATAACTTTGTATATTTTATGTTTATTAATGCCTTGAACAGTTTGTGTTTATGCAAATGTACAGATGTGAGATCACAACAGCTATATTACAATATGAAAATAAAGCACTTGTTCTGTAACAAAGCTCTGCCAATTCATGATTTTGTCACTTACAAAAAAATGCAGCTTGTTTACATTAAAAATATAAGATTGCGGTATTTACATTTTCAAGTATTGCTTTTCACTTTTTTCTTTCATGTTTTGCATGAGAACTAGAGCTTTAGTCTGCAGAGTACTTCTGAAGGTGACAATCACAAGCGTTCCATTTTTATTTGATTATTTATTAGGGACCCCTGGGTTTTGATACAGATGCACACATTGGATATTACAATGTAAAGTAGCCAATAGCATATATACCAAAATAAATAAATAAATGAACACTTATTTTGCTCAATATTTATGGACTTAATACATTGATAAAATACTGTCACATACATGTTTAGAAAAAATGTCCAAGAAAGGTGTGTACCTTACAACAACTTTTCACTGCAGAACCCTTCAAGAGACAACTTTGTACCTTTATTTATATAAATAATATTTTTAAATAAGTTATCACATACTGTAAATTATAAATTATAATAATTTATATAATTTAATTCTATGATTAATAATAATAATAATAATAATGATGAGGATTATGATGATGATGATGGATGATGTAAAACCAGTAATGTTTGAATAGGATTGACTGGTTGCAAAAACCTTAATATTATCATGGCCAACAACCAGCAATATAAAAATTGGCATTAAAAAACAAAAAATGTAGCATGAAGTAATACAAGTGCCATATACATTTAAGACATTAACTGTAGAAAACGCGTATATTCATAGGATAAATGCCACAGAGATTTTATAAGTAACAACTACCAATATGAAATATTCGTTTTTTTTTTTGTTTTTTTTTTTTTACAGCCAGCTGTCGCCCCCTGCCGGACACACGAAGAAAATGCTGTTAAAAACACTGAGGACACAAACGGCTGAGAAAAGTTCAAGACACTTCATTAAATATAAATGCGTTTCATTTTTTTGGCATGGTGTGCTATTGGCGAATCTATATATTCTATCTAGCCTATTTTTGATTTCCAATCCTAATATAAAATGAATCTGCTTCCTTCCTGTTAAAGTAGGTCATACCTGTCTTGAATGTCTACCTCTGTTATTTCCTTTCTTGCTTCTTCCTCTCATCTTCTGTATGCACTGAAGCACATCTTTTATTCTACAGTTTACAGTACAGCATTGCACGCCCTGTAAGAAAACTAACATACTAATAGAGGCTGTTATTGGTCACACTTTAGTCTGGGGACTATTTCTCATTATTAACTACTTATTAACTACGACGTCCGTCTCAATAAACTCTTAATTTACTGTTTATTAATAGTAAGGTAGTTGTTAAATTTAGGTATGGGATCGGATTAAGGGATCTAAAATATGGTCATGCAGAATAAGGCATTAATATGTGCTTTGTAAGTACTAACAAACAGCTAACATGCTGGTAATATTCATGCTAAAAACCAACTAGTTAATAGTGAGAATTAAAATAAAGTGTCACTGTTTGTTGTTGTATTTTGCTAGCTGTGCAGATATAAGGAGTGTATAATTATGCTGGCATAGCTAACTAAAAGTAATGATCATCACACTGAATAGATGAAAATATCCATCTGGATTCAAAAGACAACAAGATAGGTAGTACATTATAATCAAATCACACTTTAATCAAAAATTGATCATGTACAATAAAAACATAGCCCCAACACTTAACACAATAAAAATATAACCCCTAACCCTTTTTCATAATAGCACACAGACTTCTGCACTGAAACACACATTACACAACTGAACAATGATTCATTCAGTGGTCACTTTACATCGGGGGTGTCAAAAACTCAATTCCTGGAGGTCCGGAGCCCTGCAGAGTTTTGTTCCAACCCTGTTTTCAAATAAGTCTGAAGGACTTGATTTGTTGGATCAGGTGTGTTTTGTTTAAACTCTGCAGGGCTCCGGCACTCCAGGAATTGAGTTTGACACCCCTGCTTTACATTCTATATGAATTTAGTGTGTCAGTGTGATGAGAATCCATCTGTAGAAAGGAATCTGTCAATCATGTCAAACGATCTCTCTGGTTGGTCATAAGGCAAAATGTGCCCGCCTCCCCTGACAATTACCTACAGAGAAGAAAACAGAGAAATTTGTGATCAGTCAACATTATTTAATATTTAAATAATAACATTTACCAAAATTATTATATTCTAGTTATTATAAATTAAAATATATTTGTTTCTTATCTGCTGACAAGGCTGTGAGCAGATTTTGGAACTGACAATAGTCAGAATGGGTATGGCTTTCAGCCAATGATCATCATTTTAAAATTTAGATTTTGATCATTTAAATACAGGTGCATCTCAATAAATTAGAATGTCGTGGAAAAGTTCATTTATTTCAGTAATTCAAGTCAAATTGTGAAACTCGTGTATTAAATAAATTCAATGCACACAGACTGAAGTAGTTTAAGTCTTTGGTTCTTTTAATTGTGATGATTTTGGCTCACATTTAACAAAAACCCACCAACTCACTATCTCAACAAATTAGAATACTCCATAAGACCAATAAAAAAAAATTGGTGGGTTTTTGTTAAATGTGAGCCAAAATCATCACAATTAAAAGAACCAAAGACTTAAACTACTTCAGTCTGTGTGCATTGAATTTATTTAATACAAAAGTTTCACAATTTGAGTTGAATTACTGAAATAAATGAACTTTTCCACGACATTCTAATTTATTGAGATGCACCTGTATATTGATATAGCAATACTGCAGAACCTCACCTGAAGGAACTCTCCTACTTGTCGCACGTAACCTGCCACTTCAGTATCACTGGGCTGGACTTTCCAGTGGAAGCGCTCTGCTTTTTTATACTCGTCCGCTCCAGACCAGTTCACTGTGGGCAGGAAGCGCTCAGTTAGAGGGGCTGCAACGATGACATCAAGCTGTCCACTGTAGATCAACACCTGCGAACACACGATCAAATCCATCCCACAGATTAATCCTAAGTGAGAGTTTTTATAGCTATGGGGTCTATTCAATTTAAATATTAAGGGACACTACGTTAAAAATACAAGCAATTCAAGTAACTTAACACAAGGCAAAACACTGACCAACTTTATACAGCGAGTTTGGAATATATGATGTGATCTTGAAATTCCACATATTAAATCCACTTCCATAAATTATTCTCCTTGTCAAACTACTCTATCAATATAAAAAATCTGTCCAAAACAATAATCTGATAGTATTTAAGTCATAGCTGGAAATTCGATATAATTTTGCCTGAATAAACAGATTAATTATCAATTAAATAGTTAAAAATAAAGCACTAAAAACTAAAATCAATCATTTGAAATGGCACAGGTTATAAATGTACAATATGAAA